GACATCAGCCTCACTGTTGGCTTGTCCTTTCAAGTTATATTTAATATTACTTAGGGATTTCAAAATTACCGCTAACGCCATTTCCTGTTAACCGGTTTAATATCATTTTTCACAATGTCACAATATAGGCATGGGTATATTGTTAAAACAACTAAGCATTTGCGCATTCGCACACATGTCAAATTCAATCGTCTCATAAAGTGTATTCCATTCCTTCGCAGCAAGGAAATAAACGATGTTTTCCGACTGCGATAAAGTAATTTCGTTTCAGGGGCATGCGTTACACATGTCAAATTCAATCGTGATGTGGCATGTAGGGTCTGACAGGTTAAAGCATTTACTTGTTTGGATGGCATGAACAAATAGGTCCACCTTTAGTTTGTACTCATTAACTTAGACTGAAGAAAAGGCTTAAACACTGCTGTCCAGCCAGTATTTCCTTCACAAAACATTGCATGACGGTCTTCTTTATCCTGCTTGGCGCAGAAAAGGATGTTAACCTAATTTGATTTCATTTTGAATGCAGGAAACAAGCAACTTAGCTAAAAAATAAGAGTTCGATGACCCTTGACCCAGTTCTGTACTCCAAGGAAATGTCAGATTGTTGAAGCTAATAGAAAATAGACATCTGAGCTGCATAGCTAAATCCTTTCAGTCGTCCAGGAGGCAGTGTTTCTTACTCTGTCAAGGCAATAATTATTTGGAGCTGAGCCAAAGATATTTTCAAGATAAAGTAGATGATATCAACAAGTGGGGGGATGGCATTAAAGATAATGAAGGGCTGTCATACTTGTAAGGTGACTTATTTATAACTCTGACCATTGCAATTTATGAATTGAACTAAAATAGAATACCCTTTCCTATACATGTAGATGCCAAGTTTTGCTACTGACAGATTTTCCTGTTGTCAGCAACTGCTGTAGAAATAAGATTTTATTCAAATTCACTATGACAAATTTTTTTTTTCAGAATGTGCAATATTTAGTAAGGTCTCTAATTTATTGAAATTTAGTTGATATTGCATGTGACTTGTTTGGTTTGTTTATATTTTACAAATCTATTTAGGAAACTTACTATGTCTCACTTTTCTTCCACTGTATCATGTATGATTTGTACTATGAGGTATTAAGGAAGCTTAAATTTTGTAGCAGAACAAAATGCAAAAGATATTAAATTAGGTATTGTCTTTCTATCCATCATTCCATAGATCTCTGTTTCAATTAAATTTATGTATCCAGAATTGTGCTAGAAACCTTACAAAACTTTTCATTCTATATAATATAATAGTTCCATACACTTGGTAATCTTGTTGTCAATGCTCTTCAAATAGACTAAGGTTCCACTACAGGTATTTCGACAATCAAACACCGATTGGCAAACTTCAATTTTTAATATGACATCACAATTTCAAAATGGCTGCAATGATATGGACTGTTTCTGGTTCATATACATGTAATATGTTCAAACGTGATACTTTTCCCACAAAGTATTTCTCAATCATTCTCAATTTAAAATAACATCATAGCATGTACAGTACACCAATTTTTTTTTGTAAGGTTGTTGAAGATTCGTTTGTTAAATTCTCTCATTTTCCTCTTTAATCAATCTTTATTTTACATGATGGTCAAGTCGATCCCCAATCCTTGTAAAAATATTGAACTAGATTAGAATGCAATAGAAATGGGTAAATGTATAGATTTAATGATACAGAGTACATTAATCACAAGTCTAGAAAAACTTATCCTGGCATTTTAAACATAAGAGCAATAATTACACCATGCTTTGATGTACTGGGAGAGATTGCCAACAGTGTGTGGTGCAGTGTATGATCCATGACCCAATCAATTGGTGATTCAAATGTTATTTATTCCTATTATTTCTGACATTTCTGTGAAAGTGAGAGAACTTTGTATCAGAATCTCTGGTTTTTGTTTGGCAGCTTGCCATTTCTCATCTTAACCAATTACCACCTTAGCAGACATTTTTCAACAATAGAATTGTGGTTGTAGATCTGTTACTAAAAGTGAATGTCTTCTTACAAGTGTGATATGATAAAAAATAGATACTATGTCCAATATACCATTCAGACGCTTATATTTAAACCAGTACAAAATCGCCAGGGTTTTTAAGACAGGATCATGTTGCGTTAACACATACTATAATCCAAACCAGTTTAACTATTCTGACCTCTTTGGTCGGAGGTTAGAGTTAACTATGCATGGGTAGCTTCATATTCTTTATTCGGTTCTCACACGCTTTCGATAACACTGGCACTGCCTGACCCCAATATTTTCCCAGAGTTTTTAAGCCAACCCGTTCAGACAGCCAAGATGAACCAGTTTAAAATAAAAAGCCTACTCGAAGACAGGTCCCAAACTGGTGTTTTTAAACTGGTTTATTGGCCCCACATTTGCATTCAGGCAACAAAGTGAAACTGGTTTAAAGATCCCCAGGGTTTTTAAACCAGTTCAACTTAAGCGTCTGAACAGGCTACAAGACTGTATAGTTATTAAGAATTAGTTAGTCTAATCGTCTGGCCAAAGATCTATTTTGTCACTTTAAAACTTGTAGCTAGACAGAGTTATGAATTTATTTCTCCCTTTGATTTTGACTGTTCTTGCAGAGACAGTTCTTGTTGAAGAGTGCAGGAACACTGTTCAGAGTACATGTTTAACACATATTTCTATAGGATGCCAGTCAAATCGTTCACAAGCAAAGTTCTCCACAGTTAAGTCGTCACATCCATTGGTGGAGTCGTGTACAAGGCATTGGTGATGTCATCCACTCATCCACAACTATTGGTGATGTCGTCCACAACTAATACTAAGACTCGTACACAATTTAATTGTATGGAAGAAATAGCCAATACCTGTTGACTGTTTTGTTATATGATTTTAGATCGAATCACCAATGTTTTTGCAATAAAGTCAATCGTATTGTTTGATAATTATATGGAAGAAATTATTTATAATACTCTTTTACTGTTTTGATGTTAGATCAGCGTTATGATTTTTTTTTTTAAATTATTATTATTAGTTCACCGATGGTTTTGTAATGAAGTATACTTGTATTGTTTGTTAATTGGCGTTAGCCACAATTGGTCTGAAGATTAGCTAAATTTAACTCACTGTCATATTAATTGCAAATTGGCTTCATAGTTTGAATATATATATTGACCGTAAAATTTAACATACAATCCTTAATTTATTATGGCTAGTGTTTGTGTGGTTTGTTCTAAGGAAGTGCGTCCCTGACAAGAAAGATTAACCACAAGGCCGCAAGAAATAACCTCAACGATGGCACTCTTTCTATATATACATATATACATTGTACATCAGTATAAATCTATATGTACTTGTACCGCAGATTCATACTTTATAGAGGTTGAATATTATCAACATTACAAGAGGCTGCAGTGTATTTCATTCAATTAATCATATAAATTGCGCAAAAGGTAAACATGACATGATTTTAGATGAATGGCTTACAAGTTGGACGCAAGTTACGTGTAGAATACTTTTCGGAACTGAATTTGTCCGGCAAGTATATTATAGCAGAGACTTCTTTCTGATATGTGGCATTACCTCTTTCAGTTTAACCCATAATGACATTAATGTATCTCATCTTGATAATGGGACTAAATAAAAGCATAGTTGATTGATAACCATAGAGTAGAGATGGTGAAATGAATGACTGTTGTTTGTAAAGAGAAATTCTCATCATACAACATTGTGAACATATTCAATAGTGTACCATTGTTAGTTTTGATGAAATATGAGTCTGGTAATTTTCTCTGATCATTTATTACCACTATTTAATGTACATGTGGGCTATATACTTTCACAATGATTCACTTAGTCATGTAATAAATTTCTGACCCATTTTACCAATGTGAAGTTGAAATCGATTTTATTTCTTATGATGACTTTCTATAGCTACACATCGTTGTTTGTAAGATGTCTATTGATTGGCTGACTGGTTTAAGGCATGAGTAACCTACAGCAGCAAAAATGTCTGCTGGTAGCTAAGCAGAGAGGCACATATTGATTGGTTAAAATAATCTTTGTCCAGATCAGTAGGTATTTTCTCAGTTATGGTTTATAGGTATTGTTAACAACTTGTTGCGTCACTGGCAGTATAAAAGACTGATTTAACAAGGCTATTTCATGTACTTCTAAATGACTAACATGTAATGAGAAAATTGAATATAGGACTTTGGTTTAAAGAAAGCTTGAGCCTTTCATCAAATTCAAAGGTTCATGTTTTTCCATATCTTATTTAATCAAATCACTGTCATTATTAGAAAAAAAGTAAACCTAAACCTACATTCAGTCTTTTTTTTCCCATCAAAGCTGCAACTTGTTCTGTATCTTATTTTATTAAATCACTATCAGTACTGGATAATCATTTCCTTTTCATGGGGATAAACCTGCCAACCTCAATCAAAACCAAGTAGTCCAGAAGATATTAATTATTACTTACTTGTGGTAATCCTTATGATTTGTTGGACAGGTGTATTTCAGTAAAGTATGTTGTATGAGCTTCGGTGCAATATAGACCCGATTAGATTATTGAATTTTCAAACAAAAAATGGTTCTGTTTTTGATAAATAGAAACATATTTCAGTTATAAAAAAAATCCTGAATGTCTTGACTGAGTTCTGTGATGTATTTTATTTATAAGCTAAGCAGCTGTCAGTGTGTCCTTTACACCTTTTGGAAACCAATAACTCTGCTTTTAATTTCGGGGTTCGCAAATAAGGGGTCATTATATACTTTTAACAGGGTCACCCAGTTACCGTGGGGTCGCAACTGATTTTGCGTTTCGAGCTAGTGTTGTGCAGGGATGTGTTGTCGTTCTGCTGTTTCTTCTTCTGAAATGCTCGCTAATTTTAAACCGCATAAAGCGATTGTTGCTAAGAGAATTGTAGTCCGTATTTTTGCTGGTTGTTCAAATGAAGCATCTATAATAATGTATTTGGATTCTTTTTTATTTTTCAGTTGGTGCCTTCCAAAGTGATGCTTTGTTGGTTCCACAACATTGTGTTTTTGACCATCATCATGATACAGACATGTGCATGGATTTTGACTTCTGGAACAAAACAGCCAATGACAAATGCAAGAATAGACATGATCAGAAGATTCTCAAAGAAAGTTTTGCCATGCTTTTAGAGTGTGAGGTTGATAAATTCAATGGAGTTGAATTTGTTTGCTGTCCAGAAAAGAAAGGTAAGAAGTCTCAAAGAAGTATCCTAATTTCAGTCAGTTTCTTTATGTCTGAATTGTATCAAAGGGAGATTTCTAAGTGGGCAGTAAATTAACAATTTGTGGACCAATAAAAGGATACTAAATTTACAAATAAAACTCAGATGGCTTTGATTTTCTCAGATTTTAAAGAAGCAAAATCTTCAATGCATCTGTAATTTTTCTTTCCTTTTGACATTTTACCAGTACTAATTATGCGATGGTTATGTATTTTATGCAAAAGGAAATATTATGCATAATAAAAACTATTTGAGTTAGAGAAAAAAGTCCATTACCATTTATGAGGTTTTAGTAAACTTATGTAAAGATGATTAGAATTCTTGTACCATGATTATACGGAGGGAACAATAATAGAAAATGACAGGAGTTTTTGTAATCACCGAAGTAAAATTATCTTAGAAGTTTTCAATGATTCAACACAAGTTATATACATATAGATGTCTAATGGAGATAGTTTTGATACATAAAATAGATATTCAATTATCGTAATGCTCTATTAAAGTATTGAAGATTGCGCTGTGCTGGCGCCAGTGTTGGCAAAAAGATAGATTGTGTTTTGGAGACAAACACGAGACTTGTTCCTACCAAGCAACCTGCAGTAAATCCATATAATCAATAAGCCATATAGAAGGAAAATGAATAATGAAACTTAATGATACAAAAGTCTACAGACGAACACCTCAAACTAACGCAATGATTCTATAGTCACTATTGACCAGACTGATGAAGTAGATAAGAATAGGGTTAGATGTAATTATTATAGATTCCTTACCCTGATAATAATGGTATTATTAGAGTATAACGCTTATAAAATACAGATCGAAATATATGTCTCTAAGAAAATAGAAAGAGAACTTAATGAACTCACACAATGTTTTATTTTGAAAAATAGTAAATTTAAATCTTACTGTCTACATAAACCCATCAAAAGTAAAAAATAGGATATTTATGCACATTAGAAAGCTAGAATTAAATTAAAATACTTTGCATGTTTGAGTACCAGTACATATGTAGCACCTACATGTATAAACTTACATTTTATCTATAAACTAATTGATTTTGGACATTCTTGTATTAACATATTTTTGTTATAACTTTGTTTTTGAACTATATGAATGGATTATTCAGTTACCGTACACATACATTGATGACTCACAACCTGAGTAACTCAAATGAGCTCATCGATGTTCTAGCAGTTTTCATTCACTCGCTTTTAGATCTTGTCACTTTTGATAACAAGTCTCTCATCTTCTAAATTATACTGATGGTGCATCATTAATAGAAGCTGCTCCCTATCGAAGAGTGAATTCCCATGGTGGACCGATAAATTATATCCGTCTAATAGGAGACATTATGTTTGTCACGATTCTGGAAGGTCGGTGTGTACCGTTGTCCTAAAAATTTTGCTTTGACATAGTAGCGATCTTGTTATAACTCCATCTTGTCATTAAGTATTCGACTTCTAAATGTACCTTCTCGTCAGTAAATTAGTGTTAAGATAACTTAATTAGTGGAGAACTAGATATGATTCTAAAAGTAACCAAAGGGGATGTGAAAATCTTTGACAAAATAAAATTTAGACTCTCTGGCATAAAGAAGACAAAACTACAAGTAGAAATGCAGCTTTTTAATTCTGGGGATATTGCTGCAGGTAAATGTATTTTAAACACAATGAGACATTGTTTGCTATTATCTGTAACATTTTACCTGAAAAAATGTTCCTAAGTTGAAATGTCAGCATTGAATTTTATCTTGAAATGTAAAGAAATTAATGGATGAATTGTTTTTGTTGTGTGCCATATCTCTAGAATCAATGATGATTCATACATGTAGTTATATTAGTACATTTTAACTTTATACATGAATAACTCATAATCAATAATCTCAAATGGCTTGTACAGTAAGTTGCAGGATGAGTTATATGAAGCAAGCTGAATTCTGATGTCATTTAATTTGTAAATATTTTATGTTATATTTTTCATTAAATTTTTGGAGTAGATAAGAACAATGTTGAAAGACAATTAATGTTGATATTATGGTAACATCATAATGTCATTAGTTTTCGGATTATAAAAAGAAATGTATGTGGCCGTACAAAATAAAAATATTCTGACTCGGACAACCATCCCATAAACATCACATTTCAAGGCACTACATTTGTCTCACCACGTTGTTGAATGTATGATTGTCCATTATCATTTATGATGTGCTCTACATAAGTATGTGTTATAGTTTAGCAATATCATTTATAAGTTTGTGCATAAAATGGGGTTCTTCTAAATCTGATGTATATTGCTTTTTGCAACATTTACTTTTTTCCTGGGTACATTGTAAGTAGAATATATTTTTTGATCACTAATAATTTATATGATCTTAAAGGAGCTAAGTCGCTAATATTTGGGACCTAGAAATTGACACAAATTGGTAGCAACACATACAATAATGTAATATGAATGTATATAAATTGATTTACATTCAATTGTTTCTTTTTTACTGTAATTTCTAATCAATTAGGTTCGGCGACATACACCAATATTCTCAATCGAATTTCAATCTCTAGCTTCTGGTTATTCCAGTCTACGCCAATAGTATTTATTGGGCATGCTCTCCAGATAAGAATATAGTGTCACCGTTTGACATGACTTGTGGAATATGCCTAGCCTGGATATCAGAAGGCCATCTTTTCCCGGTAAGATCACAACATCACTGTTGATTTAAACCGACAAATAAATCGTGTTTTCAATGTCGAAGATTTTGGATGATATATATTGAGTTAGAGACTTAGCTACTTTAACTGTCAAAGAAATATTTCATCAATTTGATAATCCTCTATTAACGTGTAGAACAGTGTCTAATTATTAGTTAATTGCCCCAGACAGAATTTGTATATAAAGATGTAGATCTGATTTACACTGGGGCCTACAGCTAAATATTATATAAAAATTAAAACTAAGATAAATAATCTAGGTGATTTTAACTGTATAACTAACTGTATAGTTTGAACTTTTTCTGAAGATTAATCTACTTGTCTGGCTACGATATTGAGACTCCTTGGTGTATATGACCGAGAAGAAATTCACTCAATTATTTGAAGATGTCATAATTCTGTGATCCAGACGCAACTAACACGGTCATAGAGATGATGATCTGAAATTACGACTCAAGGAAGAAGAAAATTTTAAGCCGAGTCCAAAATCTTTTTTTTTAATTCCTGAATGTGGGGCCTGGATAAAAACTTGTTACTTCATGATGCCATCATTTCATCAATAAATCTATCTGATTGTAGAAAGCAAATAAGTAGAGATTGGGAACAAGCTGAAATGAATTAAGGTTTCCCGGTGCTCAGATTTTTATTTCAGAAAAAAAAAGTTGTTGATGACATCTAATGTTTTCTGTGAAATCAATACTTGAGTTTAGAAACCAAACCTAGGATGACGTCAAACCTGAAAACATTGATAAAGGGAAGCTCATGTTGCACGATGACTAATGGGAAATCCGAAGAAAAGCAATAGACTATTCTTGAAGGATGTTATTTTAAGGAGAATTTGATTTGAGATGGTAAATCATATTGATTCAAACCTGAAGATGCGGCAAGTGCATTGAATCCCATCATGAGAAATAACATACAAATTGATATACATGTTTTTAGTTGATCTTTAACATGATATTACACATTGGCTGGTTGGGGTTCTAATTCACACGATTCTTACAATCTGTGGGCAAGTTATTCTATATTATAATGCTAACATTCATTTATAGTTACATCTCTGGCTTCTTTAAATTCAATAACTTTATCTGGGTTTCATCTCTAGGGGAAAAACTGGTTGAAGTAGAATCAGTAATCAAAATAATTAATTAATCACCATTCTTTTAGTGTTGTTTCATTGATTAGCTACTATTTACTATTATTCACATACATATGTCATATATATATATATATATATACTATTCAAAAAAAGTAGGGGATATTTGATTTTTAAGTGTTATTAAAGTCACCTAATGAAACTGACGAAGAAACAAATGACAAAATGAAATGAAGTTCACATTCATCGATTTATTCCAAATGATCGTTAGACTAAGTAAGGCACAGACTGACCATTATAAGGGTAAAATGATACCCGGGGTCAAACAGCAAAGTTACCACAGCATCACAACCAAGTCAGTAACGGGTAAATCCTCCTCTGTTTGCCAAACAAGCATTGATCCGACGTGGCATACTCCTAATGAGACGTCTAAGGTCATTTTGGTCCAGATTGTCCCATTCCTGTTGCAACGCAGCAGCAAGTTCTTGGACATTGGCAGGACGTTGTTGTCGTTGACGTAACCTCTGTCCAAGCATGTCCCAGACATGCTCGATGGGGGAGAGGTCGGGACTCAGTGCTGGCCAAGGTAATGTGGTGATGTTCTGTTGTTGGAGGTAACCTGTAACGATCCTGGCCCTGTTACATCTTGCGTTGTCATCCTGGAAGATGAAACGGCGGCCATGACGTCGTGCGAATGGCACAACATGGACTGCCAAGATGTTGTCCCGGTAGTACTGGCCTGTAACACGCCCTGCAACAACATGTAAAGCCGTTCTTCCAGCAACAGTGATGCCTCCCCACACCATAACAGAACCACCCCCAAATCGATCATGTCTGATGACGTTAACGTCTTGGAAGCGCTCGTTTCGACGACGCCACACCCTCCTACGTCTGTCCAAAAAATCAACAGTGAACCTTGACTCATCTGAAAACATCACATTGCTCCAGCGTCGATTATCCCAGTGTTGACGATCCCTACACCAACGACGTCTTGCCTGAATGTGATGATCTCTCAAACAAGGGATTACGCGAGGACGTCGGGCGCGAAGGTGACCCCTATGCAGTCGATTCCGAATCGTCTGGCCACTCACTCCCACACCAGTGTCTGTTTGAAGACGAGCGCTGATCTGATTTGCTGTGATGACACGATTTCTCAAGGCC